GATTCATTCGTGAGTAGGAATTTATTTTTCAGATGTGTTCACTCAAAAATTATTATTGAATCATTTATTTGTAATGTTTTGTTTTATTATCGGATAAAATCCGTGCAAAGCAATACGAAATGAAATACATTGCCTGTAATAAGGCAGATACAAAAAATAAAATTGCGAATAATGGTGTTAGTGCTAACGCACACATATCATCGTTACAAATATATATTCTGCTTAGGATTCTACAAGGATGTGGATAACACCTGCGGGGGGACCTTCATTGAAATCGGAAATCAAAGTCTGAATGCACGAATAATAAAAAGTACATTTTTAAATTGAGGTGGTAGCCGGTTCCGAATTTCGGTTTCAAGATCATCGTCTCTTGCCCCACTGGGAATTGTAATTGTTTGAATAATAACATCTCCGTCCTACTTTATTATTGAGATTCTCTACTACGGAATCAGATACATCAACAACTGATACCGCTATCTTTGGTCTATCATTATTCTGTGGCTGTCCAGTTACCTCGGTAACACCCCGTTCCAATATCGCGAGTCTGGCCTCATTCTTTTGCTCTAGTTCCTCAACTCTAGCATCGCGCTTTGTATTCTCAATAATCTGTTTTAACTTCGCATTCTCCTTTCTAAGCTCAGTAATCTCGGCTACAGGCTTGGAATTTAAATTGTATGCTTTATATAAAATATGGATACAGTATATTCAATGAATAAAAATAATCACATGCGCGTGAAGAATTCTTCACGCCGATCACTTTTGCCAAACGTAAAGATTTTAAGAACATCTAGTCTCTAGTCACATGAAATCTTTCTCTAATTGTAATCACATGAATCGAGGCAAAATACGAGAAATCATGTTAAGTCCTTTTCGGAGATAAAAATTCTTCATTGGTGTATTTGTTTTTGCATTCACTCGTTCTTTGCTAATTTGATTCATGTTGCATATTTGCCCAAGAGAAACGGTATGGATGTTTTTGACTTTATTATTATAGATAGATCTGTATGCTCTTCCAGCAAATGGTCCAAAATAGTTCGTAAAAGTATTTCTGTCTACGATTCCAGACCTTTTCTGAATTTCAATATTACAATTTGTAGTTGTAAAGAAGATGAAAAAATCATTTTCCGATGCAGATTTTTCACGCTCTTTTTGGTACTCCTTTTTACTGACTGCTTTTTCCCGCAATTTATATTGGTGGATTTCATTCAGACTCTCGGTACCCGGCTGATCTAATGAAAGGAAGGCATCTCCATATGGTGAAAGTGAGGCATTAATTATACAATGTTTGAATTGCCGAACATCAACGGTAGAATTACAACAATCAACATTCCATTCGCTTGTAGTGAGGCTTTTAGATTTTGTGTTTGTATGATGTTTTGCAATTTCAGGTCGTAGATTGTGGTTTTTAAATTGGATATCACCATTCAAACGTGCTCCCGCGTGAACATCTGAGATCGTTATTAGTTCATCTTCTTCAATCACAGCTGACTTTATACAACGAAATGATGCGACAAATTTTTAAAAACTCTGCCATGACTTCGCTTGTGATGATGTTACTGGATTCAAGAGTGCTCTTTGCTCCTCATAATCAGCGAACTCCCAATCTCGAAGTATTGAATCTCCTTGATGTTGAGATATCTCTACAAATATCCAGAGCCAGATGTACGGTGCAGTGAGGTATCCCTTTGGACTATTTTCTATTTGTTCGAATCGAATTAACCCACCCCCAGCAAATTCATCTGGTGTTTTGTTAGTTTTAGGAACAGGCTTATATCTATTTAAGATACGTCGAGTCAGTATTGCTCGTGCAATGGGCCTGGCATCTCCCGCGGAAGCAAGAATAGAATTACGGTATTTTTCAGTAAGTTTAGAACGCAGATCGTTCATCAAAGTGTTGACGTTGCATTCTTCAATGTTAAGACCAACCAAGCAATCGTTCAGAACTTCTAGAGCCCTTCCATGCCCTCCACAGTCTTCCACAAGAATACTAGTAATCTCATCATTTTTAAAGACCGGGACCAAACTATCTCCTTGTCGATAGTTTGGGGGTTGTAGAGAAGTGACCGGTAGGTATATACGTTTCCGCTGAGAATATCTCAACATACCATCAATCGGCCCAGTGATAGTTGAGGTGCAAACGGGTATCACGAAAATGCCATTAAATGCAAGATCTGCGACAGATGTCAGAGTCTTATAAAACGAAGAATCCGACTTTAAACCATCATCATTGTTCAGCATAAGTTGTTGCATGCCGTCAACCACCAAAATGACTGTAACGTTTTTCAAGTTTCGGTTATGGTGTTTGGCAATCAATTTCACAACATCCAACGGATCTGGTGGCTCGTATTTATTGGTAATTTCTGGAAACATCATTTTCTCTCTGAGAAGTTGAAATAGCATACGACTACCAATGGCAAAATAAGTGTCGGATTCATTTGTTCGTAAGCCGAAGCCATTCTCAAAGCTGACAAGGAATACCCAAGCTTCTTTAATCCTAGTCAACAGTTCCTCATCTTCTTGAGCTGATAAACATGTGATTGCCGTCTGGTGGAATTCATTAGCGTTCTCCAGAAAGGAATAGATATAACGGAAGATTCAATTTGTCAAAACGCCCTAAAATAAAATTTTCATAATGATTTTTAAGCTCTCTTCGCAAGATCTGCTCCAAAGATGGGTCAGGTTGATATTCCCAATTAGCGCCAGAAGTGTAAAGTAAAGGTTGTGGTTTCACATATGGCAACCCTACGTCCGATCGGCCTCAGCATAAGAACGACGAGTTTTTTGCAGAAATTGCTTAATACATACCTCCAGGAAAAGCACCAATGATTTTTTTTACTAACTTTTGTGTTGGGAGTTTTGAGGATAAGGAGCAGTAAATAAAAAAAGCAATTATTCGATGTCACATAATAAAGACAAAAAAATGGTTAACGAAAAATCCAGCACGGTCACATTCACTCACGTTGACCAAAATTTATTATGACTTACCAGAGGCAACGGGTTGCTCTACGATAACGCGAATGCGTTTTTTGGGCGGGTTTGACGATAAGAAGCAGGAAAGAAAAGCACAAGTAAGTATTCGGTATTATTGGTGAATATGACACGATTAAAAGAGAACATACCAGGCTTTAAGAGTTCTTTGAAATAAGCAACTATCTCTCCATTATCCTCACATGTAGGAAGGATGCGTTCCGCTTCGGCTCTTTTTTCTGGATTATTAGTGAAGAGGGTTCGTAGTGCAGTTCTTTCCTCTTTTGAATCAAGTATTTTGATTGCTTCGTAGACGTTAGACATGGGAAATCGAATGTTGACTTATCAGTCTCATGCTTTTAAACTTCGAGAATGCGCCAATCTCGGAATTCCACAATCACGTGGACACCATTTTATGCTTTCCGATATACAAGAACCCAACTAAGGTACACCTGTTTTTCATACAATTATATAGGAAAAAAATCTATCGTGTCTACATCGCACCCTCATCATACCTTCATCGTACCTATATTGCATCTCGGTTATGAGAATATAAAAGGAAAATTGCATATCGGATTTGCTATCTCGGTCTGGGCGATCTTAAATGAAGAATTAGCATTACGTCCGAAGGAGATAGGCGAAAAAATGTCTTAGTAACCGAAAATTTGGTTTCACGAATGTCGGTTAATATAAAACCTTACATCTTTATTCCATAAATGAGGTTCTATCCAAACGGGGATGTGGGGTCATGACCCATTAATTAATATGCGCGGATTGAATAACGATATTCCGATTTTGTATAGGTCTCACCAGTGTTTAAATCATAATAATAACCATCATCGTCGTCAGAAAATCCACAGAAGCTCCCATAATCAGAGGGTTCCGAGTTAGAATCTAAAGAATCATCGGGTTCACCTACTTCTTCCTCCAGTAAAGATTCGACCTTCTCGCTTATATTATTATCCTCATTTACAGTTTCTGGTTTATCCTTTGAAATTGCTCCAGTAGATACAGTATGTTTACCTCTTACACCAGTAAAGATTTGTTATCCTCACTTATTATATCTTCCAAATTAGATGTATTAGACAATGGGATAGAGGAAACAGATGTTTCTGAATTTTTATTTTCCTTCTTACAAGAATTTTGCTGATCACTTCGTGAACTCGGTTCACAAAGTTGGGTTGCATGTGTTAATATAGAATTTTTCTCATCCCATAATTCAACCAGAGGCAAGCTCACATCAATGCTATAATTAAAGGATACATTATCTATAATATACTGAATTTCTTTTTTTGTTAATTTAGATATACTGTCAGCAGAAAAGGAATGAATGCGATAAATTTTATCCATACCTATTGCATCAAAAAGTTTATAAAGCTTCTTTGCTTTTTCGATTCTCTTACGTAAAAGGCTATCAGAAGTGTCTGCGGGTAACTGTGCTTTTACTTCTTTATTTAAAATTCTACTAACAGTATTGGATTCTGGATCAACTTGCCTTTCCGATGCTATTTCATTACGTCTTTGAATAATTGCCTTTCCGAATAGGCAATAACACGCGATAGCTTCTTGGGTTTTACGATCAGCAAGAATTATAGCATCACAAAGTTTTTCATATAAAAGCATAAAGTTAGTATTGTTGGGCATTTCATCCTGGGTATTAGTTGTCACATCCCTATCTATATTATCATTATTAGTAGAACTTGAGTTTTCTGAAATTTCTGACATGATTTTCTGTATTTTGTCTTGAGATCTAAGATTCTTTTCCCGGTTCTTTTCTCTTATTTTCTCATTAATTGTTTCTTTATGTACGTTATCCAGGAAATTATTAGTAATAGAAGACGTGGAGGATTGGTTATTCTTTTTCTGGTATGTATCAAAAGAACCAGAGGTTCGATGCGAAGCATCATCAGATGTTATATCAGAGCTATTTTCTATTCGTTCAGGAGTAATATTAGAATTTGAAGTATTATCAGGTATATTAGATGCTGGAGTATCGTTAGAATTTACTGGAGATCGCGAAACATCTTTTGTAGAAATACCTTTTTCTCCCTGTTCTAATATATCGAGTCTGGTCTCAAGCTCTATATTCTTTTGCTCTAGTTCCTTGACTCTATCATCGCGCTTTGTATTCTCTTCTATAACCTGCCTTAGCTTCACGTTCTCAGCTTCAACCTCACTATACTTCTTTCTAAGTTCAGTAATCTCTGCTAAAAGTTTAGCATTTAATTCTCTTAACGAATCAATGGTGTGAATATTTTCCATTATTTTTTATAGCGGAGCTAGTGTCTTTGATACTTAAAATACGGATATATTCAAATTAATAAAAATCACGTGCGCGTTATTCTTCGTAACGTAGATGGCAAGAAAATTCTCAATTATCGGACTCTTTAGGACGCCTCTTTGAGGCATATGTATATTATCCGAAGATAGGCTAACGCCAGAAAAAAATATTTTATTTGTATATAGTACAATTATCGCTGTATACATGAAAATATGTGAAACTATCTACCCATTATTTTTTGGTAATTTTTTTGATTCGAGCTCTCTTACTAGCAGGAGAGTTATCAACCGTTACCCGATCTTTCAACAACCCGACAATGATTCCTATAACCTTTTTCACACTGCTCTTGAGCCTATCAAGATTTTCTCTGATTGTGGTCTTTGAAAGATTAATCTGATATTCGCTTTCGCTAGTGCAATAAAGCCCATCGGTGGAAAAGACAATGTGCATGTGATTATGGGCCATTGTATGCATTTTTGATGCTTTTCATTTGAGAAAATGAATAGTATATTAGATAGGTTTTTTAAACAAATTTAACATTCAGAAGTAGAATTCTAACAAATTTTTATTCTAGATTTATTGCTTAATAGTTACTAAAATATTGAACTTGAATTAATATAAAGATTAATGAATAATTGTTGAATTATTAATCTAACTATGTCCTATCCTAATAATAAGAGGCTTGAAATTTTAAATAATCGACCAAATATCGACTCAATTTCTGAACTAGATTAATTTTCAGTTGATGAGTTACAGTATATCAATTTTTAAACAACACATATAATATTCATGAACAATAATCAATACATCTGAATATTTTCCAGATAAACTCTTGCATCTGAAAAAATCAAATTTAAAGGTATTTACCAAAATATTATATCTATTAGTCAATACTATAAGGCATCTTATGAAATTACAAACTTTTAGAGATCATTTACGAAAGATAATGAAAATTCAATAATTATTCAGAATAGAGCAGATCAATATGTTAGATACCAAATTGGAAGTAAAATATTCAATTTTATTATGTTCTCACAAAATATTAAGGACTTATTTATATTAGCTAGATTTGTAAATCATGATAGAAATGTCAATTTATATCTGGAACAAGTTTAATTCTTTTTTACATATTCAATAAACTTTCTTAATAATATTATTGAACATCGATTGGCTTTTATTCAGTGATACAAATTGGTTAATTCAGTAGAAAATAGATTTTATTTCAGATCTAAAAATGATGCAAATATTGAATTGTAAAGTACTGAATTTTACTAAGTTAAATATGAATGCATAATCTTTATTTATGATATTTTTGGCTAATTTATTTCATTTATATATAGAATCTCAAATCAACAAGACTCTTAAAAATATTTAGCTATACTTCTTTTTTTTTATACACCCTAGATCAGGTTAAGTATATGTACTTTATTAAATGTTTGTATACTATATATTTTAAATGATTTGCCAAAGCTAAGACTTTACTTAACTCATTCGTCGCTGTTTTGTTTTAATATACCAAAACTCTAAGTGCAACTTCAAGAGTGATTTATCGCTCTGTTAATGGTTCAGGTGAATACACTTCCAACCTTTAACTTTATTGCTCACAAATCATCACTACAAATTACTATTCATTATTTTAATCAAGCTTAAAACCCAACAACTTCATTTCATAAGTAATACCTTTGAGTAGAATTTCTTTTAGGCTTTCATTTTCTTGAGTTTCTTCCTCTGATAGAGAATCTTTACTTTTGGGAACTGATGGTTTTAAGCTATGTGTGCCTGAGGGTCAATTAATTTTTTCTACTCTGCAGATCCTTTGTAAATATTTTCATTCGATTATCTTCTCACATCTTTTGTTCCAAATCTTTTTCCTTATTTGGTTGCACATTCTTCTTTGCACCTTTAACATCCATCTTTTTACCTTATTAACAATTCTTTTTTTATAGTATTTCAGATCTACCATTTTTAGGATTAAGTCTCTCCTTACTAGCCCTATACAATAGCTTAGAGGTCCTAACTGGTTTTTGAGGTCTGTTCTACTAGTTTAAAAATCCATTTATCTACCTTGGCCATTTCTTCTTTATCATGAATAATCAACCTTACATGTTTTTCTTTTGCTTCTTTTTTTCTCTCTTGTAAGAGCCTTCTGAAATCTCTAAGGATCACATTTTGTCCTTTATTCCATATTTTCTGTAATTGTTTTTTGTATGTTGGATACTCTAATAAATATTTGAAGGTTTCACTTTGCTAGCTGCATACAATACACTTCATATGTTTGTAAAGGTTGGGCCTTCTAGTTGCCAGCTTATTCAGAATTGATAGCTTATTATTTATTAGCTTTATGAGGAAGTTTTTTTACTGTGATTGTTTAAAGGAAGTATCCTAAGTATGTCCTTCTTTCATTTTTTCCCATACAAGGTCCCTAGTATGATTTTGCTATTCTATAATTTGATGGCTCTATTTTTTTTCAGTTCTGTTTTGATTTGTTCACTGGAAGGCAGTTGTTTTATTGTTTACTTTTTTGACAAACTGTTTTATTGGATCATCCAGTATCTTTTCTTGTCATCTAATTTCTGTGATGATCTTGTATGAAATCAGCTCTTTCCATTTTATTGCTGGGAGTTTCAGAGCTTCTTTGATTAGAACATCTGCTTCTTCATTGTAAGAATTATTGGAATGTGCCTTAACCTTAATGAGTTGCAGGTTTATAATCTTTTTCTTTACCAATTTTAATATTCATGCCCACAGGGACCAGTTTTTTCCTTTAACCATCTTTTGTGAGTTTGCTTTGGATCTTCTTTATTGTTTTCTACTTGAAAATACAGGCCTGGCTATCTGTATGGATTTTTATGTTGCTACCTACTGAAATCACCAGAAGTATTGTGATAATTGTTACAAGTTCAGTATGTGTTAGGAGGGCCAACTGTTTACTCCTGTCTAAAATCTACTTTCTCTACCCATATCTTCTATCTGGATCTATGCTGCTTCTATTTTCATTTTTTCCTTTCCATGATTGATGAGTGATCCATCAGAGTGAAGATTA